TACCATATTGTTTTCCCAAAGTATGTATACTTTTTATATAATATTGTAAATTTAATATTTATGTATCTACTTTGTGTGTTTTTAATTTGAAGAATCCATAATCAAAAGAAACAATAACGAAGATAAAGAACTAAATATATATTCTTATAATTGTTGTACAAGAGTGTTCATTTTTGTTACAGAAAGCAGCAATATAGATAACAGCCAATGATTAAAATGTGGTAATGATTCATAAAGCTAAAGGAAATTAAAAAAGATAGAATGACGTAGTCTATGGAAATATTATATCATAGGTCTTTACACATAAGATAACTTCGCTAAATGTTATCTTAAACAAGACACAAGGTATTCCATAGACTGCCACCTATTTGTCCAGAACTACCTCTTGTCTTACCACGTTACAGATAAAAGTAAAACAAAGAAGCTGGTGGCATGTTATACTATGTTTGTAAAATATAAGGAATATATAGAAGTCGAAGATGTCTGATGCACATTGTATATAGACATTAACAGAATTATTATCTCATTGCCATATGTTACAATCTGTGCTTTCTGTACTAACTTTCAAGATTCACAGAAAACTCATACTTAAAACAGAAACATTTAATTTGGCAATATACCATTCAGAATCTCAAGTATTCTCTACGTAATGTGTGAATTACATTTTACAACAATTCTCTACATGAAAATGAATGTCGTTAACAGACATACATGAAAATGAACAAAGATTCAGTCAGCCATGTGTCAATGCTATGTAATTACAATGTAATCACGCTAAAACTCACACAGAGTCTCGCCAGTCCTGCACGATAAAACAGTCAAATAGCATCTAACGCGAAATATTGTTGTTATTTTCTATTTTATGCACTACTTTACAGAAGATAAACGCAGAATATTGTATCACCACAAATGTCATGCTTCGAACGAAAAATTCGTACTTACTTTCAACGCGAAACTCAGAGAAAATATATGTATGTATAGAGAGAAAAAGGATCAAAGTGTAACTTAAAAATCTAAGAGATATTAAACTGAATTGTTCAATACCGTAATGACCCCATCCTTAATAATGAATTTTCGGCTTCGTACGATCATGCCCACGACCTTCTTTGAGACCTTGGCGGGCATATTCACGCACTGCGCGCACAGACTCTTCCGCTTTTTCAGTTTCATTAATTCCTAAAAATTCGATGACACGGTGTGAGTCATTTTTGTGTGATACCCCTCACGCGAACACTAAAAAGCAAATCCAGCTTCAAATTGTTCTTGAGTTTGTATCTACATAATGCAACAATCCACAGTTAACCATGTCCGCAGACTACTACAGACTATCAGGTAAGTGCAATATATTATACTAAGAATATAGAGGGGAAAATATAACGATTATGAAATTTGTATACGAAGCAAGCGCCGCTAAGCGTTCATTCAGTGAAACATTTTGATTTTACCCTTAGCCTTAGTACATACATATTTATCTGTTAAATTAATGCATGATAAAAATCAATCACATATCAAGAAGATAATGCAAAAAGAAATAAAAAACAAATAGAACCGCCTACTTGCAGTGGAAATATCAGACTATAAAATCAAAGAAACAAATCAAAAATTGTATCTGTACAATACAATGAACATTATGAAATTAAGGCTGTTGATCTCAAATTATTTATTGTAATCTTAGTCTTTATCTTTACACCAAACAGCCTCATGAGTATTGCGCTGCTTTGTATGAGTTCATGAAAAATGATTTGACCACGGGTACAGAAGTACTATAGCTGCACGGTGTTTTTTCAATTAAGTACAAACTGAACAATGGATCATGGATGGCAGGAAAATGGTAATCTTGATCGTCCAATATGTAATTCCAATTTTAAAATAACAGAAACGATATCGATAGTTATATATATTATATACTACATATAGTATATATAGTATATATAGTCATCTCGCGCCAGCCGAGCTCGCTTCTCATTGGTCAGTGTTTTTTTATTAATAACTCGTTAATGATGCCTCGGAGAACATTTTTGTAAAGTAAAAAGTTACTTCAAATGACCTCAGGAACCCTACATTTCTCGGAAATACCATAATTTTGGAACACCCTGTATATACATACAGGGTACCTCAGATTTTGCATGATTTTTCTACCTCCCTTTGCTTCTGCAAGCATCCCCATCATTTTACTGCACATCTAATCTGCAGTGAATCTTATCTTTAGCATTGAATCATCAATTAATCAGAGGAAAGCAATTTCTACTCCTATCCTTGCTAACGGAGCGAGATTATAGAGCACGTTTATAGTACGTATAGAAAATCCAAGAGTACGGTGACGCATAGATTCAATCTGACGTCACGCGGAATAAAAGATGATAATTCCTTATCACTGATCAATGGTTGAAATATTGAGCATATATATGCTAATAATGTAGAATCAAATCATATTATTCATTAATTAAAATAATCAATATTAACATCTTAATTAAATTTTAAATACTTTCTGCAAAATTATAATTCTCAAAATATGCATATTTCATGTTTAATCAATTGAATTTGCTTCTTGAAAATTTCGCATATTCATTAATGTCGAACATTAAAATAGTTTAACACATTTGGAACATCGGTGTGTCAATCTTTCGAAATTGCAGATTGTGTATCTACTAGCACACCTTGTTCACTTTGACATTACGTATAGGATTTCATCTTTGCTTCATGAAAATAATCTGGAGCCGTGCCTATAAGTATATATATGTATATGGTCTAAGGTAGCGTTCGGAACGCAACACATCGGGCGTTCCGAGCCGTGGTCAAAGGAAAAGGGATTGGCCGATAAGCATTGTCAAGAAATAAAACTGCATACAATGCATAAGGAATGGTTTTCAATGAACTGCGAACGACCTTGTTTGATAACATGTTTCGTGTGTATGCTGCATGAATTTATTGCTTCACCACAGAATACATCAGAGACATACTTTTCTCAGAAAAGTTTTCAGGGACGTGCATTTTGAAAATCAAATTTTAGTGCGCATGCGTTCATAGGTATGTTTATTATATACAGTCACAGAATATGTTACAGTAATAGGACCTACTCCTGCACGTTTATCTTACTTCCTAAGCTAACGCGCACATCCCCACCATTTTACTGTGCATCCAATCCGTAGTGGATCCTGTTTCAGCAATGAATCATCAACCAATCAGAGCAAAGAAAATTTCTATATCGACTGTCGCAAACGAATTAAGCTATGGCCTAAAGGTGTGCAGGAATAGGACATGAACATATTAATACACGCATGTTACATTATTAAATATATTTGATTAATGAAATCCTGTATATTCAGTACTTTTTACCATAATGCATTTCTAATATTGCCGCCCTTTCCAACGTTTTAAATTTCTTGCGTGCAGCCGCTTGTTGTTATTTTTCTATCCAATGACTCGATCCAAGGGGTAGGAATGGAAAATGTACTGTCTCCTTTACCACCATTTTGCCGTGCTTACGATCTCACTTTTTTCGCGCATCCGTTTGCCTGGTGTTCCATCTGAAACACTAGGTGCAATATTTGACTTGTACTTTTCGCCCCGTAAGATTCTCGATCACAGTCCAGAGTATTTGCGAACGTCTTGAAACGGCGACCATTTCTACAATTATTAAAATTTTCGAAAAACCGTAAGCTACATTTTAGACAATACTTTCTAGTTTATGAATTTACAAAATTTTGTTAATTCGGCTATTCCAGTACGTGTTAACTCGGACGGCCGCCAATCAATATTCTACTGTACGAGAAGGAGTTTTGAAAACTACGAATAATTTCGCAATTTTATATAATCTTTAATTTTTTAAATTTTAAAAACAAAATTGAAACTTGCATTCATATTCTCTTAGAAAGACTACATATTTAATTTAATAATTGCCTACAACAAAATCCTGAAACTCAGAGTTTTAGGAAATTAGAGCTAAGAATTATTGAAGACTGGAACAATTTACCAGCAAAAAAGATTAAAAAACTATATGAAACAATTTCAAAACGTTTAGTAGAAACTTTAATCCGCAATCTACAACGAAACTAGGAATATAAGGAAATGGTTGCGTTGTTTGTGGATCTGAGTTACATGAAAAATTGTACTTTATTTGGGCATCGACATTCTCACTTCTGGAATGACTAAGGATGTTCTTTCCTGTTTACAAGAATTTGAGGCCCTCAAAAGAGCCGTTATTATTGTATAGAGGAGCCTGTGAAACACGAGTTGTTGCTTCTGCACTTAGTCAGAGAAACCGTAAAGTCGAATTTAGCAGTCTGTAATTAGGTAGTTTAAACCTCGTGCTGTACTTTCACGCCCAGGTACCACTACCCTCGACAGGGACCCAAGGACGAAAAGGTCTATTATGTGTCAGGGTTCGAACAAATGTGTTTCCGCTGTGTTATTGCTGGTCTTGAAACTTTCTTCTCTGAAACCGTTATTTCATAACATACAAATTAAAAAGCTGCATTCTGGACGCATGTTTATTCCATGAGTCAGTGATCGAAATAATTTCTTCATGGAATAAACATGCGTCTAAAATGTAGTTTTTCAATTTGTATGCTATGAAATAACGGTTTCGGGGTAGAAAGTACCTAGACCAGCAATAAAACGATTTCTGATACCTGCGGAAATTCTTTTGTCCTGACACATAATAGACCTTTTCGACCTCTGGACCCTAACGGGGGTGGTAGTGGGATTTTGTCTGCGCGTGAAATGGTCTTCAATGTCTTCATAGAGATATATCCTCATAAAATTACGTTTATTCGAATAAATAGATAGAATAGTTCGATCGAATAAATAGACGGAACAGTTCAATCGACATACAGTGATCCAAATAATTTTCTTCATGGAATAAACATGCGTCCAGAATGCAGCTTTATAATTTGTATGTTATGAAATAACGGTTTCAGGGAAGGAAGTATCAAGACCAGCAATAAAAGCATTACCGATACCTACGGAAACACATTTGTTCGAGCCCTGACATATAATAGACCTTTTCGTCCTTGGGTCCCTGTCCCTGTCCCCTTGGGTACCTGGGCGTGAAAGTACAGCGCGAGGTTTAAACTACCTAATTACAGACGGCTAAATTCGACTTTACGGCTTCTCTGACGAAGTGCAGAAGCAACAACCCGTGTTCCACAGGCTCCTCTATTTAATAATAACGGCTCTTTTTAGGGCCTCAAATTCTTGTAAACAGGAAAGAACGTCCTTAGTCATTCCAGAAGTGAGAATGTCGATGCCCAAATAAAATACAATTTTTCATGTAACCCAGATCCACAAACAAAGCAAACCATTTCCTTATATTCCTAGTTTCGTTGTAGATTGCGGATCAAAGTTTCTACTAAACGTTTTGAAATTGTTTCATATAGTTTTTAAATCTTTTTTGCTGATAAATTGTTCCAGTCTTCAATAATTCTTAGCTCTAATTTCCTAAAACTCTGGGTTTGAGAATTTTGTTGTAGACAATTATTAAATTAAATATGTAGTCTTTTTAAGAATTATTTGTTGCTTTCGAAACTCTTTTTCGTAGAGTAGAGCAATGCTCCGAACGCTTCAGAGCGCAACATTTACAACGCTCCCCGCGTTGCTTCCATCGGCTTACCGCCGCAGCGTCTCGCCCCCCGCATTGCTTCATTCGGCTCACAGCGGGGAGCCTTACGAATGTTGCGTTCTGAGCACTGGAGTAAAGCATTGATTGTTGACAAGTACTAGGTTGGCTAAATTAACAATATTTTGTAGATTAATAAACTGGAAAGAATGATCTAAAATGTAGTTTATGGTTTTTCGAAAATTTCAATAATTCTAGAAATGGTCGCCGTTTCAAGACGTTCGCAAATACTCTGGACTGTAATCGAGAATCTTACGGGGCGAAAAGTACAAGTCAAATATCACGCCGACTGTTTCAGATAGAGTACCAGGCAAACGGATGCGCGAATAGAGTGAGATCGCAAGCATGGTAAACTAAGCAGTCACATGGTAAAGTGAGACAAGCTACATTGGTCGTCGATGTGTCTTGTTTCGCTTGTGGTTGTGCTGATGTCGTGCTCTCTTGTTCATTCGCCACTTCTTCTCTTTGCCTAAAACTGTGGGGGTAGTACTTACCTGTGAAGCGTCAACCAATCAGAGAAAAGCAGTACCTGTACCTAAATACCTAATACCTATCCTCATATTTATAGGCCGACATCGCTCAGTACAGCTCAGTACGCGAGGGACTACGGTAGTAACATTGTCCGTATAAAATCCGCGAAAGTTGTGAAATTTCGGAATAGGAATATCGAAGATTTCGGTGAGTTTCGCCTCTAGTATATCTTGTGACTACAAAATCATTGTTAACGCATAGCACCGCAAGAGCGCGCCTTACTCAGTGAAAAAAATGGTAGTTATTTGGGTGTAGTCGGGCGATTTTCTGCAACACAAATGTGAGTACCGGCTGACTAAGGAATTACGAGTGCTGTTTGTCAGTGCGTCGCAAAGCTAATATGACCGGGTCTATATCGGAGGTAATGGAACTCTCGATAACTGAGCGAGTATCATACATATTTGCACGAGACCGCGACACTATGTAGGTATTGTTGTTCACGCATCTCCGCATGACAAGTACTCGCGGTCTTCTCCGTGCATTTTATCAGTCAAAAATCCGGGATAGCATTGTGACGTTCCCGAAGGATCAACAGATCTGAATCGATAAAGAGGCCTGGAAGCCTCTTACCGTAGGACAATGCGTAAAATATGCACTGACGCGATATTTTTGGGATAGATGTCACATTATCTTCTTGGTGTCAGACTATATGCGCGCATACAAATATGTGTGCATTTATTTGATTTGCGGTGTATGTGTATGTGTGTGAGAGAGCGCGGGCGCGCGCGCGTGTGTGCGTCTGTGTGTGGTACTTCCTCTTCACCCCGTAATACGCAGTCGTTCCCTGTGTACAGCATGCAATGCAACGGTGTGTCCGTGAGATACGTATATCACAGTATATACGTAAGACCTGCTACTTGCTATATACTGTCAACATTTTTCAAGTGACTGTTTCATGATGCTTGACAACATACTGCGTTATTGACGAAGTAAATTTTTTCTCGGTTTCTCCCTCCCCCCTGCTCCCGGTTCATTTTCTTCATTTGAACCAGTATTCCCGCGGTCGTCACGTTACAGTTCGAGAAATATGAGTGTTCACCTTGTTGACAAATAAGAAAATACTTTGCTTTGTAACGATGGATACGCATACATGCATACATAAGCATATACATATATATATATACGCGAAGCACTAATTCTGAGATCGGTTGCCCTCACATTTATTGGCAGTCGACGTGATCAACATTATACTATTGATGCTGCTAAATTTATACAATCCATACAGCAGACAAACGTTTGCAAAACAGGAATTACATAGTGTCCACAAGAAGGAGACTATGCACACGCGTACGCACACGTACACACGCGCGCGCAATTCTGCCCTCTGTAAAATAGATTAATTCAAGGTTTATTGATAGAATTCTATTTCAATCACAATGTTCTTGTGCCCCTGATTTTGCTGTTTTTTTTTATTCATGAAGAATGATCTGTTGATTTTGTTGCACTTCTCATACAGTTGCTATGCAATTTGAACATTATTCAACATATGGCATATATACAAGCACCTATGTATTGGCACATGAGTATCATATAGATTGTTAGAAAAATGATTGAAATTGATTGAGATGTTTTATGAGAAAAAATGTATGATAAAACAAAAAGATGTGTTACTTTGATCAGTGTCATAGATTTTTAATCTGTCAAAGTGGGATGAATCATTTAGTCCATGGAATTGACAAATATTTTTCATTATTTACATAAAAAGAGAAAAATTGTTTGAATTTTCTACATCAATATATCTTTACTGTAATTTCAAATATCAATGATACATTTATAAATTTTTATGATACATTAAAAACTTTATTAATTGGATTCATAGATCAAAGTATGTACGTGTTCTCATTTGAAATTGAAGTAGCTGAGTAGCCTTTTGACA